TGTCTTCTCTTTTCTGGAGTGGTGTTGGTCACCACTAACATTTTCCCCTTTCCAGTGCATGAATCTGTTTGATAGGACCCTGCTTTCTTCACTAGGCAGTTGAGAATTCTTTTATTCCAGTATTGCCTTCCCTGATTCAGTTGAGAATTCTTTTACTCTAATATTATTGCCTTTCCTGATTCAGTTGAGAATTCTTTTACTCAGATACTGCCTTGCCTGAGGGCACTCTAAGGAGCCCTGGTGAGTCAGTGGTTAAGTACGGGCTGCTTGATGAAAGATCTGCTGTTGGAATCCACCTAGCAACTCTTTGTGCAAGAAGGACCTGGCTATCTGCCTTCATTAAGATTGCAGCCAAGAAACCCTGTGGGACTGTTCTTCTCTGTCACATGGGGTCACTGTGTGTCAAAATTGACTTGCGGACACCGAGCAACAACAGGGCATTTTATTGGACTGCCCTGTGTCCTAGTTTTAGTTTTGCTTAGATATGGAGTGCATTTATCTACCAGGGCTTTGCTTTAAGGTATCTGTAAGACTTTGACCGCTCTGAAGCTGTTGTTTATGGTTGGTTGTAATACTTACATGATAAGCATGAAGGAAGCTCTTATTCCTGACTGGAGAATTCTAGCAGTCTTTCTCTTAATTTGGTCCAGTGTCCTTTTAGTTGCAGTTGTTTTGGCCTTGATGGAAAGGAAGGTCTGTTCATTGTTCTTTATTTTCTTAGAAGATCTAATTCACCCACAATCCCTTTGTCTAGGTGAAGTATTTCCTTTTCATAAAGTCTCATTTCTGAAGCAGCAAGTATTAAAAAAAACAACAAAAATTACCCCACAAAAAAACAAAACATAGAATCTGTCATTTATCTTCTCCTGCTAGACATCCTAATGACTTTCCTGACCAGGGCTAGATATATGAGGAGCTTCACAGGTTCATGGAAAACATTAAATAGAAAGATACTGGGAATTTCCTATGAACTTTTTGAATTCCTCTTACACAGTCAGTTCTTCAGTCATTCAAAATCCTTTAGCCAGAAAGGCATCGGCCAGAAACACCACAAAGTTAGCCATCTGGAGGCCTTTCCTATTACTCCAGTATACAGGCATTTGAGGTGATCTGACTCCTTAAAAGGTGAATAGAATCGAACCCTGCATACGGGGATGTGCTGGGTCAAGGAACCAGCTTCAAGAGTTACTTGAGTTCATATTTTCAATGAGGCTGAATGTGCATTCCCAAGGCAAGCATCATGTTAGGATTTTATGATTTGGCACTTGTGGTCCCATGGCTGCTTTTCTTTAGCACTGAATTCCTATTCATTAAATTAAGTCTGTTACTTCACTGTTTTTAAATCTTGCACTCTTATATTTATGTGCCTATGTTTGTTCTCTAGTGGCTTACATACTTGGAAAAAATTCCACCCAGTTATTGAATTGCTTATTCATACTAGTTGTGATATTATTAGTTACTGTCAAGTTGATTCCGGTTCCTGGTCATCTTATGTGTACAGAGTACAACTGTGCTCCATAGGAATTTCATGACTTTGTCCTTTCAGATTGCCAGACCTTTCTTCTGAGGTACCTGTGGGTAGGTTTGAACTGCTAACTTTTCTATGAATTGTTGTTAGGTGCCGTTGAGTCAGCTGTGACTCAGACACTCTATTCACAACAGTATGAAACACTGCCTGGTGCTGCACCATCCTCACAGTTGTTACTGTCTTGAACCCATTACTGCTGCCATGGTGTCAGTACATCTAGTTGGGGGTCTTCCTTCTTTTTGCTGACCCTCCACTTCACCAAGCATATTGCCCTTTTCCAGGGACTTGGCCCTCTTGATACATGTCTGAATTATGAGAAACTAAGTCACGCCATCCTTGTCTCCAAGCATTCTGACTATACTTCTTCCGACACAGTTCTTCTGACAGTTCACGGTACTTTGTTTTTATTTTTTAAAAGTTTTTATTGTGGATTGCGTGAAGGTTTAGAGACAAGATCACTAGTTTTATATTCAACAAATCATATGCTTAGTTTCATTTCAATGATTGCAATCCCCTCAGTCCATGGAGCTTTCAGTATTCTTCTCCAATACCATGATTAAAATACGTTGACTCTTCTGTGGTCTTTCTTATTCATTGTTAAACTTTCACATGCGTATGAGGCAATTGAAAATATCATGGCTGGGTCACCTTAGTCCCTAAACTGACATCTTTGCTCTCGAAGACTTTAAAGAGGTCTTGTGCAGCAGATTTCCCTAATGTAGTATGTCGTTTGATTTAATGACTGCTGTTTGCATGACTGTTGATTGTGGATCCAAGCAAAATGAAGTCTTTGACAATTTCAGTCTTTTCTCCATCTATCATGATGTTATTTATTAGACCAGTTCTGAGGATTTTTGTTTTCATTACATTGAGGTGCAACCCATAATTAAGGCTGTGGTCTTTGATCTTCATCAGTAAGTATTTTAAGTTCTCTTTGCTTTAAGTAATCAAAGTTGTGTCATCTGCATTTCATAGTTAATGATTATTCCTCCAATCATGATGTCAAGTCCTTTTCCATATAATCCAGCTTCTCAGATTACTTGCTTCACATACAGGTTGAATAAGTATGGTGAAAGAATATAGCTCTGGTACACACCTTTCCTGCTTTTCAATCATTCAATATCCCCTTGTTTTGTTCGAACTCCTGCCTCTTGGTTTAAGTACAGGTTCCTCGTGAGAATCAAATGTTCTGGTATACCCATTCTCCACAATGTTATCCATAGCTTGTCATAGTCAATAAAGTACAAGTAAACATCTTTCTGGGTTTTCTGTCTTCAGCCAAGATCCATCCTATATCAGCTGTGATGTTGCTATTTCCATTAGCAGTCCAGTGCATAACCCTTTATATTACTCAGGGACTATTCACAATTAGATATTGTAATGTTGAGAATTTTTTCCCCTTATAACATCCATTTATATGCACTAGACTTGTAATCACCAGGTTGGCAGTTCAAAGCCACCAGCCACCGAGGGAGAGAGAAGAGGCTGTTAGATCCTGTAATGATTTGTAGGTTCAGAAACCCTGTAGAGGGTTGCTATGAGTCAGAATTGACTGGATGACAGTGGGCTGAGCCATTAATTAGCTTATATGTGTAGTGTATAAGGAGCTCTGGTAGCGTAGTCGTTAAGAGTCAGGCTGCTAACCTCAAGGTCAGCAGTTTGAAACTACCAGCCGTTCCATGGGCGAAAGATGAGGCTTTCTGCTCCCGTAAAGATTTACAGCCTCAGAAACCCTATGTGGGTTTGCTATGAGTTGGAACCAATTCCACAACACATAACCACCACCAACCACATATGTAGTTTATAGCTGTATTTGCCCAATTAAGTTTTATCTCATTTTCATCTCATGTGTTTTTTTTTTCATACACCTTTACATTTTGTTATGCTGATTATTACTTTAGTACTGAAAACTGAATTTCAGACGTGAGTTTGAAGTATGCTGTCCTTATGTGGTGTGGTTTGTGACTTTACTAGTCAGTGCAACTCACTTGAGTAATAGAGCTGAAAGGAATAGCAGCTATCCTTGTCCTAGCCTCTTATTTTACGGAAGGGTGGCTGATGCCTTGAGAGGTCAAGAGACTTGTCTAGAGAGTCTTTAAGGAAGAATGGAGACAAGAGTCAGTTTTTCCTGAATCTGAGTCAAGTGTCCTTTTCATATTACCTTATTGCCTTCCCTAATTGCTATTTGATAGTAAGGGAGGGTAACTGCCGTGAATATCATTGCCTGTGCTCATTTCCTTGTCAGCTGTCTCTTTCTCCTTTCATTTTGTTATTTATTATATTTCAAATTCATTTTAAAATTCCAGTCTTCATTCACATCAAGCTCACAAGTCTGACTTTGGTTAGAGATGGACTTTTGTGAAACAGTCTATGTGTTTGGGTGCAGTGGCTAAGCGCTCAGCAGCTATCTTAATAGCCATCATTTGATCTGTCAGCTGCTTTGTCAGGGCATGATGTGGCAATCAGCTTCCATAAAGACTGCAGTCCTGGAAACCCTACAGGGAAGTCCTGCCTTCGCCTATAGAGTTACTACGAGTTGTATTTGACTTGATAGCAGTAAGTTGGTTTTTTTTTTTTTTTTTTAATATGCTTGGATGCTAGAAGAAAAATAAGTATAAATTACAATGTGGTTACTACCTGTGTGGCCCTAGAAATATTACTCAAATTCTTGTGCCTCAGTTTCTTCTTGTGTAAAACAGTGATGATGATAGATTGTACTGCACAATGACTTTGAAGATTAAATGAGTTAGTATATGCAAATTGCTTAGAACAGTTCCTTGCACATTGTTGGTATTAAGTGCTGTCAAGTTGGTTCTTGACTCATGGCGACCCTGTACAGAGTTTCTAAGGAGTGGTTGGTGGGTTTGAACCACCAAACTTGAGGTTAGCAGCCTAATGTGTATGTTACAGTGCCACACTAGGCCTCCTGGCACATAGTGTAGGCTGTTATTATCAGTAGTAGTTTATAAACATCTAGGGAATGGGAACATACTGACTTTGGGAATTTCCTAACTACCTTCCCTTCCCTTCACTCAGGACTTCTTGTCAACCCAATTATAGGATTTTCACTTAACTCTTGTTGAGGGCGAATCAACTTGATGGCACTTAACAACAGTTTGTTCAGTATGCTCTACTTTGTTGATGTTTTTTGCTCTCTGTTTTTCTGCTTTGATATTTCATGTTCTTCCTTCTTCCACTGTTAAAGCAGTTGCTGCCACATGACTTCACGTGTGTCAGGTAGCACTGTGCTGCATAGATCTTTTAGTGGCTTCGTTTTCAGAAGTAGATTGCCAGGTGTTTTTTCTGAGGCACTTCTGGGATTTGAATCCAAATCTCCAACCTGTTGGTTAGCAGCCAGTTGTTAACTATTTGTACCAACCAGGGACGTCTCCTCTGTGATTGTAGATATTTGTTTAATAAAAGACACCTGGAATACTAACTTTCACTGATTATGGTTTTCTTTTTTTTTAAGGATTTGGAATGCCCTGACAGATAATTATGGGAACGTAATGCCTGTGGACTGGAAGTCATCCCACACCAGGACCTTACACTTGCTTACTCTGAACCTCTCAGAAAAAGAGGTAAGCTAGGAATTTGACCAAGAGTTTTTGAATAACTGATGGTGGTACTGAGTCTCTAACTTAGTAAAAGAAGGCAGTCTCTATAGTATTACTGCCTTCTTTTACTAACTGTCCCTGGGTCTGTACAAATACATTGAGTTGTCTTTTATTTATAAGTTCCTGGAGATTGAAGTGGTCCTGTAGTTCCGTCTCAGTGGCTCCACTACTATCAACTGACTGGCATGTTCCTCCAGTGCGTCCCTAGTACACTCAACTTGTCAATGTTGAGCTAAATGTCTGTCTGACCAGCAAAGGTCAGCATTTTTTCCAGCATAAATAACCCCATTTTGAGGTGCTGGGAACACTCAGTGAGGATCCTCGCCTTGGTTTTAGTACACTGAGGGTGCTGAAATAATCAGCACAGATCTAACTCTTGGATGAATGTAATGACTTGCTGGACATGACAGGTTGCCAGAAAACAATGTGTTTTTGTGAATATTGGAAACCTTTTAAAAGACTTCTCGGTTCTTGACTTTTTTAAAGGCTACCACCTTAACTTGTTTGAGGCTGTTGTTTATGTCGTGGTATTTGTAAGTTGCAGATACCTTTAATAAGAAGTGTGAACACGTGTTGGGACAGTTGAGGGTAGGAGGAGAGTAAAGGGAAGAAAATTCCTGTAAATGGTAAACTGTGTTCGGTTTGGTTAAAGCCAATGGTAAACATAGCTGGGTTATATAACTTTCAGGGCCTTTTTAAATTTCTTACCAAATAACCGTGCAGGCTTATGTCAGATTTTTCTCTGTACTTTGTTAGTGTAATTGTGTGGTTATTGGGAGTACAATGCAGTAGAATTGTTGGTATTTTAAATGATTTGCTGTTGTTGCTAACTGCTGTTGAGTCAATTCCAATTCATAACCCTGTGTAGGGTTTCTGAGGAGTGGCTGGTGAGTGTGAACTGCCAGCCTTGCAGTTAGCAGTTCAGTGCTTATGTTAGGGTACCACACCAGGACTCCTTAAATAGTATGTTGCTGTTGTTAACTGCTGTCGAGTCTGTTCTGACTCACAGCGACCCTGTGTAGGGTTTCCAAGGAGTGGCTGGTGAAATTGAAGAGGCAACCTTGTAGTTCAAACGGACTGTATGGTCAAGTGCTTATCCTACAGCACTACACCAGGACTCCTTAAATAGTATAGGCCCTGCAAATGACTTTCTTAAATGTGTGACTCAGGAAAGCCTTCTGTTAAAGGCTAGAATTCTTGCCAGGTTTTCAAGTATTGTAGTAGATACAGAATTCTTGCTGTTGGTTTGAATTATTCACCCTGTTGCAAAGCTGCTTTGCAGACTCTCCTGACATACATTTAGTGACAAGGAACAAAATGAAGTAGCCTATGCTCTCCTTTCTTATTGAGATCCTTGCTAACAGTTTTGGGCTCTGTTCAAGTTTCCCTTCTTCTCTGAAGCCTTCTGTTACTGTTTTAGCTTCTGTTGATCTCATGGAATTATATAATTTTAGAGTTGGAGGGGACTTTAAAGGACATTTAATCCACCCTCTCACTCGGGGCCATTCCCATCTCTAGCGTCTCTGACAGATGGCCATTTAGCCATGGCTGAAGGCACTGCGGGGGCAGGAAGTGTGCTCCTCTCTGTGGGAATCAGTTATGTTGGTGAGGATGTGACTCTTCCAGGACATGTTAAATGTCCCACAGAATTTAACCCAGGTGTCACTGATGTGCTGATCCCGGTGCCCCTACAGTGCTGTTTCCATGTTTCTGTATAGTATTACTGCCTTCTTTTACTAACTGTCCCTGGGTCTGTCAGTAGATTGTGACTTCCCAATACGTATCTTTGTGTTTGTCTTTATCGTAACTGCCACTGTGCTTGACACAATCTGGTACAAGCAATTGCTGAATGGCCTCACCAGTGAGGCAAAGTTTAAAAAATATATGTATTTTCTAGGTTGTTTAACATAGTGCTTTGAAACCTATTCCAAATCCATTGCCATTCTTGGATCCACATAGTCAGTGAGTCCTTTTTGTTTGAGGTGCTAAAAACTACTATAGAAAGAATACTTTCATAGTTTCCAAGAGAAATAAATTAGCAGTGTGAATGGAATACTCTAGTTTCTTTGAATAAAATGTCCATCTTCTTATATTGTATCTTGGGAAATTATTCTCATTTTCTGCCTTTTGAATGTTGTTTTCAATGCCAGAGTGATGGTCTAACCAAGGGTGGTGGTGGGTTGTCTTCGAGTTGATTCTGACTCATCGTGACCCTATGTATGAAGTAGAACTGCCCCATAGAGTTTTCTTGGCTGTAATCTTTATAGGAGCTATCATCCATTCTCTGCTACTGGGTAGGTTTCAATTGCCAAACTTTAGATTAACATCCAAGCACTTAACTGCTGTGTTACCAGGACTCCAAGGGCAGTAAATCGTAATGATTAGGGGTGATAGTAGCAGCCACAGCAGATCCTGGTTCTGACCCAGCCCACAGCTTCCAGGATTCTGTCAGCAGGAAGCACCTCTGAAGTTAGGCTACGACAAGTAGGAGCAGGGCGAGTAACTACAATGACTTCAGCAGTACTAGTGGATATACGAGATGAGGTGACTTGCCCTATCTGCCTGGAGCTCCTGACGGATCCTGTGAACCTAGACTGTGGCCAGAACGTCTTCCAAGTCTGCATCACAGGAAATAGTAAGCAACTGACCAGAGGTCAGCCAAGATGCGGGAGGATACAGCTGTCCTGTGTGCCGGACAAGCTACCATCCTGGGAACCTCTGGCCTAATCGATGCCTGACCAACATAGTGGAGAGACTCATGGAGGCAGTGCTGGGCCCTGAGAAGCAGGTGAAGGTAATTCTATGTGCACACCATGGAGAGAAACTCCACATCTTTTCTAAGGAGGTTAGGAAGATCATTTGCTGGCTTTGTAAGTGGTTTTTGGAGCCACCATGGTCACCACGCATTCCTAGTGGAGGAGGTTGTCCAGGAGTACCAGGAGATGTTCCTAGAGCATTTGAAGAAGCTGAAGAAAGAGCAGCAGGAAGCTGAGAAGCTAACCACTTTTATCAGAGAGACGAAGGCATGCTGGAAGAATCAGATGGATCCAGAGAGTCACAGAATCCAGATAACAGTTTAATCACCTGAGAAGCTTTCTGGACAAAGAGGAGCAGCAGGAACTCAGAAAGCTGGAGGAAGAAGACAGGAAGAGGCTGAGTATTACAGAAGAGGCTGAGGCTGAGCTGGTCCAGCAGAGCCCGTCAGTGTGAGACCTCATCTCAGATCTGGAGCGCCGCTGTCAGGGGTCAGCAATGCAGCTGCTACAGGCTGTAAATGATATCACAGAAAGGAGTGAGTTACAGACCTTGAAGAAACCAAAAGGTCTTTCTACCAAGCTGAGAAGTTCATTTCGAGCCCCAGATCTGAAAAAGATGCTGCTAGTGTTTATAGAGCTGACAGCTGTCCAAAGCTTCTGAATGGATGCAACTCTGAATCCACAGCTGGCTAGTTTAAATCTGACTAAACACTGGAGGCAGGTGAGATTTGTGGGTAATAAGCTGCCTGCGCCCTCCTAGCTGAGAGCGCATTATGATTGTAGCGTCCTGGACTCCCAGCACTTCTCATGAAAATGTTACTGGGAAGGAGATGTGACCAATAAGTGTCTGGATCCTGGGGTGTGCAGCAATTCAGTGGTACCTGCATTCCTTTTCTGTCAGTATGCCAACAATCAGAATGTTTGCTCCAGCTGTTAACCTCAAAGCAGATACTGGGTGATTGGGTCAAAGCATAAGCCAGAATATAGAGCCTGTGAGGACCCTTCCACTTCCCTGCTCCTCCTCATGATCATGCCACCTCGGCGGGTTGAGATTTTGTTAGAGACTGGCATTGTCCCGTTCTATAATGTCACAAACCATGGCTTCTGTAGATAGTATTTTCTGACTCCTCTTTGTCCATATTTTAATCCTTGTAGCTGTGTTGTTCTAATGACCCTGTGTAAACTACACTCTTAAATATTCTGCTATCCCCACTGACCTCCATTTCTTAATCTTTCTATAGCAGAAATACCACATGTGGGTAGATTTAATAAGCTGAAATTAATTTTCATTGGATTGCTAGCTGGGCTGCTGACCATAAGGTCAGCAGTTCAAATCTACCAGCTGCTTTGTGAGAGAAAGATGAGGCTTACTGCTCCCATAAAGATACACACCCTCAGAAACCCTATACAGGGTCACTGTGAGTCAGAACCAACTCAGTGACACACAGCCACAAACCACCACCACAGTTTAGGCGACTAGAAGTCTTTAAATTCAGGGTGCTTGCTCTAAGGAAAGACTGACCTTGTCACTGGAGGAAAATCCTTGTCTCATTTTCTGTGATGTTCTCTATGTTCCTTAGAGCTCTCCCCCTTGACATTATTTATTCCATATTCCTGTTTGCTTGCTAACTTCCATGCCTAACTTGCTCCTTTCATATCTCACAAGTGATTGGTTTAGGGCACACAATACACTGGACTGCAAGGTAGGTTTGAATTGCAAGGTTGATGGTTTAAGCCCACCAAATGCTCCTTGGCCACCCTATTTAGGGTCACTATGAGTCAGAACCAATTCAACAACACTTAACAACAGTTGTAGAAGCCTTACCTGGAAAAACTCAAGAGAATAAAGTTATGTATTGTGACATAACTAGTCAGGTGATGAACGGATCTGAAATTAGATGTCTCTTCCGCAGAAGGGAGTGGCATACATTAAGTTCCTGCAGAACACATGGGCAGAAAGAACTAGGTAAGAAGCAACCATATCATTCTATGAGTCGATATATATACAAAATAAGTTCTGTTTCACCACGTCCACCTGGGTGCTCTGTTCTTTCCGTGACTAGAACTATGTAAAATTTACCTTTGAAAGATTGTTGTGGATTATTTCTGTTATAAAATATGTGTTTTAAATTTCTTTTCTGACAGATGGAGAGGTTTGTTTTGTGTTTTTGGTATTAAGTTGAGAAAAACATCCAGGGAAACTATCAG